AGCAGGAAGCAGGAAGGAAGATAGTCCAAATAATTATGACGTCTAGGAAGGCTATTTTAAATTTTTGCTTTGACGCCTTCCTGCGACAATGTGGGATAAAAAAAAGTCAAAATCGAAAAATACCCACAGCAGACGGCATGATTATCTGGGGCGTGTTTTTTTGTTCTTTCGGTAGTGAGCCAGAAGAGTGTAACAGTGGTTTGATTCCGCCAGTGTACTTTATCCGGAGGAAGAAAATCCCCAGTGATTTTTATCCACCAACAAAAATTCACTAGGGTTTTCTATCCGGGTCCAGTGTAAAACATCCACCAGTCATTAAAAGGTTTTTTGAAGGGGAAACATATTAAAATGTGTATTTGAAACTTGCATAAATGGTTTATGTAAAGAGTGGAGAGTTTTCATCCAAGGAATGTTCACACTAGTGTTTTTAAACAAGGAATGATTACACTAGTGATTTTGTACCGGAATGATTGCACTAGTTATTTTATACCGGGATTAATTACACTAGTGCTTTAGATCCATACATTGATGAAGTGATTAGTACTCATTTTCAACACACGATAACACAATAATGCTTATTAACGAATAAGATTTAAATAATTTTTCTATATATGCAAATCTTTAAAATTATATGCTTTTAAATTGTCACTGATTGTAACAAGATCCACCAATGAAGATGCTTACCGACAAATCTAATGTAGCAAAGACAGCTACAAATTTTCCTTCTTTTGTCAAACAATTAAAGACTGGAACAAATTATCCTCAGTCATAACAAAAAACACCACCACAGAAACTTTCAAGGATGCACTCACTCACGATGTGCTCCTTGATACCTATCCACACCTGAAGTAATCAGGCAATCATGTTTTATCTTAAATTAAAAATAAAAATAAAAAATGAAATATTAGAAAAACTACATAAAAACGAAAAATCTAAAAACAAAGAAAAATTGTAAAAATCAATAATAATATAACAAGTATACAAAAATATGGAATACAAAAAATTTGACAATCTATGTTTAACTACATTTATAAATACATAAATTTGAAAAAATTTTACCAGGTATGCGCCGGAAAGTAAACATCAGTATGTTGATGGTTTTCTGAAACTGAAGAAGAAGAAGAAGAATATTTATATTTATTGGATTGTCGAAGTTTTTCTGTGTATATATTTGCTTTTCGGTCGACTTCTATAATTGAAACTTCATGTAAGAACAAATCTGCTCTTTAAATTTGGTTTATATCAAGTTCAATGTCCTGATCATTGATAAAGTATTTTGTGTTATAACAACATCCTCCCCATCATCATCAATATTATTTATAATTACTAGATTGACTCAGATTAATTAAACTGGTTCCTTGAAAATCATTTTAATTTTAACCCATTTATTTATGTAAACAATAAACCGGTCTAATACAAACAAAACAACGATATCAAGATCGACGCTTTCACACTATTTACATCCAATATTCTCTAGTGAAAAACAGTTACCCGGAATAAAAAAACGGCGGAACGAAAGTACGCTTACAAGAGGTCCATTTCTATTTTTTTGAATTAGCGGAAGATCTTCTGGCTCTCTCCCACCTCTTCTTTTTAAATAGGTGGTTTTAGACGGCAGAGGCACAAAACAAACATGGCGTCGTTTAGTCTAAATGACATTAATAAATTTCATGAATGAAGATGTATTAGAATGTGAGCTGTGTTATAGACGTTTTTATGGTATGACAGCCTTAGTAGGACATCTCTGTAGGACGATAAGCTGGATGAATATAAGAACTACACGGACAATAACAGTTAAGGGACAACTATTTGATATTCTAGGGAAGGGATTTTGATTCATTGGTGTTTTACGCTACTTTCAACACTCATGATTTGGCTAGTAGTCAGTTTAAATCAATAGATGAAGAATTAATGAAGAAGGAAAGAGGGCATTATTATTCATTTTAATTTGACGCTAATCATGCCTATTTTTTAGCTCTTACCAGGCAACCATATTCATTTACGAAATCCTCCTGTCCCCCATCCCAACAAATAAATAATATCAGATGGTTTTCTCTTATTAAACACAAGTTTAAATTGATCATACTAATTTTTAACGCCCAGTGACAAATATTTCATGCATGTTCAGGAAAACAGGATAAAAAGTCGGATAAATTATATAAAAACGAAGAGATGTGATATGATTGCTAATGAGGCAACTATCCTAATATGAAGTGGATGTAAGCAATTATAGGCAACTTTAAGGCCTCAAGTTCAACAATGACAAAACCCGATACTGTAGAGCCGTTTATAAAAGGCCATTAAAAGTGTGAAACAATTCAAACGATAAAACTAACGGCCTAACTTATACAAAATAAAACAATTTACAAAATATCAAATATGAAGTGAGACATGAACCAACGACAATTTAACCACTAAACTACAGGCTCCTGACTTGGGACAGGTTCATAAAGAATATGGCAGGGGTTTATATAAAAACGAAGATGTGGTATGATTGCCAATGAGACAACTCTTCAAAAGAGACCAAATGATACAGAAACTAACAGCCATATGTCACAATACGGCTTTCAACAATAAGCAAAGCCCATACCACATAGTGAGCTATAAAAAGCCCCGAAATCACAAATGTAAAACAATTCAATGGTAAAAACTAACGGCCTAACTAATGTACAAAATAAAGTGAACGAAAAACAAATAAGTAACACAGCAACAAACGACAACCACTGACTTACAGGCTCCTGATTTGGGACAGGCATATACATACAGAATGTGGCGGGGTTAAACATGTTAGCGGGATACCAACCATCCCCTACCTGGGACAGTGATGTAACAGTACAACAACTTGTTTGTGAGCGCTCAATCCTCCCCGAAGCTGAAACAGTAGTGTAGCAGTACAATATAAGAACAACCTGCGCAATTAGGTTAACTCACTGAAAGATCGGTACGAGACACACAAAAGAAACCGGCCAACTAACATTAAGACAATAGACTCAAAGCATCGAACTAAGAGTATTTGCAATTACTAGAAGTTTGTTCAAAGCTAGTTGCAATTAGTACTGAAATAAATCTTGTTCTCTCAGACTTTAGTGTCAATCAGTACACAACCAACTGATTTATTAAATAAAAGTCTAAGAAACGTCTGGTATATACGTTGCAGACCCATTGGTGGCCTTCGGCTGTTGTCTGCTCTTTGGTCGGGTTGTTGTCTCTTTGACACATTCCCCATTTCCAATCTTAATTTTATTACATATAGATCCATATACAATAAAAAAAAAAATGAAAAGTGGTAGTCCGAAGGTTTTGACCATTGAAATTTTGCATTAGAAATAATAGTTAGGACCAGAAGATTTTCTTCAAGGACCGCTAGAGAAACACGATTTTTTCGAACTTTCTGATATCTTGTTAATCCAGTTCGGTTACTTTAAAAAAAAAATGGAAAGACTAAGATTTCCTTTTTGATCAGTCATATTCCAGACAAACATTGACGAATTCTTGTGCAGTTTAAGATTATTCTTAAAAATCAAATAGTGGGGGTTAAGCCTGATTTGTTTAGCAAAATTAAGTTAAAGGAAAGCATAAAGAAAATTGTAACGAACAGAGAACACTTTTACAGTCATGTCTACGGGACGTATCTTAATTTTCTAAAAAAAAAATCGTAAACTTAATTTATGTCATCCAACATAACAAAAACCTGCTATATTCGGCGGCAAATTGCATTTTTATTTTATTGATCTTCCATAGAATATCTCCAGAAGAGGTCCAGATTCATTTTTTTGGACTCTTCACCAGAAGACATTCTGGAGATGTACCGAAGAGACCAATAAACACGCCCCTGGACTAGAAGGAAGAAAGGTCTCAAGCCTAAGAAGATTAATTTAGCGACAAGATTAGAAACCAAATTTAGCATGTTATTTCTAGTATATTTGTAGGACTCAAATCTATGGCGGGTTCCAAATCTATGGCGGATTCCTAATCTATGGTAAATATGACGTAATGCCGTCTCAAATCTATGGCAGTTTTTGTTTTCTCCAAATCTATGGCAGATTTTGAAATTGCCTATTTTTCCGGGAAAAAGAGTTACATATAACGTCACAATCAAATAACGCCATATGACGTCGTCGCCGCCGCCGAATTTGAAGATGGCGGAACCCATGAACACCATTCCAGATGAAGGTTTTGTATTAGCAAAGGAAAAGAAGAAACCAGTTTCAAAGGACCCTAATCCAGAAGCGTTTTGGAGGGACTATGCAAAGGTAGTGTCCATTTGCAAATTAAAAGCAGAAAATCCAAAATGGGGATCCGCAAAAATAATCAAGTTTTGCAATGAACAGTTGAACGATAGAATGGTTAGAAAATATTTGGAAAATTATTTTTATGATTTGACTTCGAATCATTTGTATAAAAAAAGTGTTGACCTAGCTACTCCTCATAGGAAATGTCTTTCAAAGGAGGATTTAATTAATCTAGTAAAAAAGAATCATGCATTAGATCACAGAAAATCTCACAGCATTTATGAATCTATTCGAAGATTTGTTTTCCCAGTCGTAAGGGAAAACGTGAAGCTTTTATTTGATCTTTACGTGGACTGTGAACAATGTAAAAGTGCTATATCTCTACCAAAAACAGAAAGAACAAGACGCCCAATACCAGCAACTTATCCAAATTCAAGATGGTAAATTGACCTAAAAAAGATGCCACCTCATAAAGGATATCAGTACATATGTAATATCGTTGATTGTTTTTCAAGATTTGCATTTGGCCAAGCATGTAAAACTAAAAGTGCTACTGAAATAAGCAAAGTTGTACTCAGTTACATTTATCTATATGGAGCTCCACGTATTCTACAGTCTGACAATGGAAAAGAATTCCGGAACTCGCATCTTAAAGAAGTTGTAATACAATTTGACACAGTCCAAATGCATGGTAGACCATACCACCCACAAAGTCAGGGCAGAGTGGAACGTTTTAATCGTACACTGACTGAGTATTTTAGAATTAAAATGTCAGAACGTTCAGACTGGTCCGATCAACTTCCTGAATTTTATTACGCATATAACAACAGGCTAAACAAGGCCACACGTCCAAAGACTCCATATCAGCTATGTTTTAGTCGACAAAATTTTGCTGTGCCGCTTGATGATCAGGTATTTACTTTACTTCGTTAATTTTATTTAAATTATTATTTCGGAAATTAAAAATTGAGTCTTTGTGTTATAAAAAAATCTTAGTAATTAGGTCATTTATAGTAGTATTCTATTTTATGTTACAGCTATTCTGTGTCATTAAGTCGTCTAGGACCGTAGGATGTGTCAATAAGCTGGCTACGGCAGTATGCTGTGTCAATTAGCCGTCTAGATCCGTAGGCTATGTCAATGTGCCGTTTAGGGCTGTTGGCTGTGTCAATGTGCATTCAAGTACCATAGAATGTGTCATGTGCACTATAGCGCCTTAGTTTGCAAATGTACTATTTTTAGCCGTAGGCTGTGTCAATGTTATGTCTCTTACCGTGACAATGTGCCGTCTAGTGACTTAAGTTGTAAGAATATGCAGTCTAGTCTGTGTAAATAAGCTATCCTGAGACGTGTCTTAAGAAAAATTTGATTAGGGTTATTATTCATATCAGTATTTGTTTTTTAACTTGCGGTTGAGATAGATTTTTACATTATAGATTTATTTAAAAATTATAACTTGCCGAATGTCAGGAAATAAAGACAAACCAACAAAACAACGGTTTTTTTCACACCAAAGAAATTGAAAATTATTTTTTATTATAAAAAGAGCATCTTCTTTTCAACATACCTTTGTATTTATAGGTACCTTATGCTTCTCTTACTAAAGAAGAACGAGACTTTTTAGAGCACGCCGAATTAGATGTTGATGAAAATGAGTCAGAGGAAGAACTCCCAGAAGTATCTGTTGATGTGCTACACTCATCCTTAACTGAGGCTTCAGGTGGAAACCAATTCGCCAGTACAAATCATAATGAAGAGGAACTCACTTTACATGGTAAGATTTAAACACATATGCATGAACTTTTTACTTAAAGCTATCGTCCTGAACATGCATGAAATATTTGCCACTGGACGTTAAGCAACCAACAAACAATCAATCATTATTTAAAACTAATAAAAGTACACAAATTTAAATTATAAATTTAATTCTAAAAATGAATACAATTACTTGTTTTACATGTGATAAAAATAAATGCAAATTTAACATATGCTTAGCTATATTTAACTGTAAATTAATTAATTAGTTTTTGTTTTTATTTTGCAGAGGCGATGAACATTCTAGACCATGGCGTAAATGAAGAACATGGCAATTTACCTCCAGATTGTACCCAGGAAAATGATTTTGTAGTGCCCGAACCATCATTTTCACAAACTGTTATTTTGCAAGTAAGTATGTTAAGCCTTGTGCATTACTTTGTTTATAATTTTCAACACACGCCTAAAAAAGAAGAAGAAAGAAAACCAACACATTAGATCTTACGAGTACGTACTTGTTCATAACCAATACATAAATATTTTTTTTTTAAAATAGAAAAACCTATTGTTGTATGAGTTTCCGTATAACCTACAGATTAGACGAATATTTTTACATGTGTATTAATGTATTATTTGTTCAGTGAAATATTAAGTGATAAATTGTGCACAAAATAACACGAAATATTCTGTTTATTTTTTTGTAGGAAAATGTTAGTCCATACTACAAACAAATGTATCAGAGAAAGTTTTATAACGAGCAAAATAAAGAAAATGTACCAGTTCATCCACAGGTATGTGATTTTGTTGGGATTTGTCTTTAAATGTCCTATATTTTAAACTTTGTGCCTTAGTAGTTTGTTGCTCGTTATGTAAGCGTAATATGTAATAATTTTGTTTACATACTGTTGTATAGAATAGGTTTGTAACTGTATGATGTACTTTTTAAAATATTGTCCTATATAACATAAAATTTGATGCATTTGATAGAAATCTTTAAAAGTGTTGCGACTGCACGTATACATGTACATGTATAAGACTTTTAATAATGCTGAACCATTCAAATGCAAAATGTAAAAGTTGAATTTTAGTTTGTTTTGTACGGTTATTACTAGTATATCAACTTTATTTTAAAACTGCTATACTTTGCATAGATTTTTTTAACCTAAAAATAAGTAAACCGCGTTGGTTTTCCCGTTTGATGGTTTTGCACTAGTCATTTTTGGGGCCCTTTATAGCTTGCTGTTCGGTGTGAAAAACCGTACTGTAACCTATAATAGTTTAATTTTACAAATTGTGACTTGGATGGAGAGTTGCCTCATTGGCACTCATACCACATCTTCGTATATCTATCTAGATGTACGATTATTAATTTAGATTTGATGTCACTCAGCCAACATATACTTTTTGTTTATACTTATAGACTATTTTTTTTTGTAGAATGTAAATCAAAAACAGTTACCGATATTTAACACTGGACTCACCGATTTTTATAAACAAATTCACCGGGAAACAATTTCAGCTTTTCCACTAGAGCAGTTTTCCGATGGTTTGAGGGAAGACATTACCTACTATCCGGAAGAGGGACAAAATGTGATGTACAGACCGAATCCTGCGATGAATAAAGGCACCGCAGTTTTCAGTACAGGATATTTCAGGAAAGGGGTCATAGACTCAATTTCAGCGTCTACTGCTGGAAAAGTGTATAAAGTGACAGATCAAATTACAGGATACAAATTTGATTTAAATCGTCATCAAATTATAAAGATGTGATAAGGAGAAAATAAATAGCATGTGAAGAGTCAAAGTGTTTATTTATTTTACAAACAGAAACTGCTTTCTTGTTGTTTAATGACTTACTATTTGGTTAATGTGTCGGTTAAACATGACCATGCACAGAGTAGAAAATGCTTATGTTTACGGGACACATCATTTCAAGATCATGAAGTCTTTATTAAGCTTTTTAAATTGATCATTTATAAATTTGGTTACTGTCATGATGTGGTTTATAATTTATACAATATACAAAAGAAGTTGTGGTATGACATGTATGATTGCTATGAGACAAATCACCACAAGAGACCAAACACAGAAATTAACAACTATAGGTCACCGTTCCGCCTTCAACAAAGAGCAATGCCCATACTGCATAGTCAGCTATAACATGTTTATTTCACTAGTGTTTATACACACTCTTACGTTGTCATTTATCTCCATTTGTTTTAGACAAGTCATTGGTCGTATATACTGCATTGTTTTCCATTTGCACGACATTTGCCATAGATTTTAAATCAACAAAAATCCGCCATAGATTTGGAAATTACAAAATTTGCCATAGATTTGGGTTGTAAAAAATCTGCCATAGATTTGGGATGGCATGACGTCATAATTAGAAAATTTTAAAAAACTTGCCATAGATTAGGAGTGTAAATTTTTTGCCATAGATTTGGGATGGCATGACGTCATATTTACCATAGATTAGGAATCCGCCATAGATTTGGAACCCACCATAGATTTGAGTCCTACATATTTGTGTTAATATATCACAGAAATGCGCGAAAAAAATAGAAATGAAAAAAATAAGAAAAACGGATTTAGAAAAAGGGGGAAGGCTAAAAGAATGTCCTGTCCCCAGAGACATATATATATTCTATATATACATGTGTTTATATATATATGTCTCTGCTGTCCTCAAGTACCTATGGTTATAACAACTTACAGCCGGGACGGATTGAATCGATCAAGCAGATCATTGCATGTCAAAATTCGCGCGCTAAGTGGAGATAATCGTGAATTTTTTTATAGGTGGCGCTGTATCAAAAACAAAACAAATCTATCGCTAGCGGCAACGGTCGGGAATACACTGAGAACACGTTTCTACCTTTTAATCGTGGCTGTTTGTACGTGTTTTCTTCAAGATAAATGTCACAGAGACTTGACTGCACAGTGAAATGTTATTACTGGAAGCAGGACAAATCGCCCCACTGGCAAATCGCCCCACACCAAATCGCCCCATTTTTAAAAAATCGCCCCAAAGTGGTTTACCAACTCGCCCCACTTTTAAAAAAAATCGCCTCGGTCTGCCAACTCGCCCCATTTAACTAAAAAAATCTTATACACAGAATACAAAAAAACGAAAATTTACTAAATCATTATTATTGACATTGAGTTGGCATGACTCAACTTGATTCATCAGGTATTTTCTATTTTTCATAAGTGGGTCGAGTTGGCATCACTAAATTCATCAGGATTTATCTATTTTTCACAAGTGGGGCGAGTTGGCAGACCTTATATCAGAGGGATTTTTTTCCCTTTTCATAAATGGAGCAATATATCCAACCTATTTTCAATGGGATTTTATCCTTTTCATAAGTGGGGCGAGTTGGTAAACAAAAGTGGGGCGATTTTTAAGAAAGTGGGGCGAGTTGGTGAAAAAGTGGGGCGATTATGTGTGGGGCGATTTGCCAGTGGGGCGATTTGTCATGGATTCGTTATTTTTACTTTATATATATAAAAATATTAATTTTCGCGAACCATTTAGGTCACGGAAATTCCATTTTTTGCCATCAGTAAGGAGAGTTGTACAAATAATGTGAATACACAGAACCCCGATCCAATTCATCTTTTGCTAAAAATATTTATCATTTTCTGTTTTATATCTCCTAACCGTTCCTTCCATTTTTCTCTAATTTCGATTCAAATATGCCAAAACCTGCAGTAAAAATAGATGTATGCCCCAAATAAACATTCCCCGATTGGTTGAACTACTATGGCGTCGATGTAAAGCAACGCAAGCCTCGATGTAAAGCACACGCTTCCCAAGAGTAAGGAGAGTTGTCACAAATAATGTGAATACACAGACCCCCGATCCAATTTATCTTTTGCTAAAAGTGTTCATCATTTTCTGTTTTGTATCTACCAACAAAATTCCATTTTTCTATAATCCCGATTTAAACATGTCTTAACCTGCAGTAAAAATAGATGTATGCCCCAAGTAAACATTCCCCGATTGGTTGAAAATTTGTGGCCTCGATCTAAAGCAAATATTTCCGTTGATATGTTGAACTTCGACCCCGGGATTCAGCTGATTCACATATAGATTTTCTTGCGCTCAAATGTAATTCTAAATGAAGTATACTGCTAAAGTAAAATTATATTCTTTTACAGAAATATTTACACATTTTATCATTAATGTATTGTCATGCTTCTGCATATTTACGCTGAGCTTTAGTTAAAAATAATTCTATACAAATTTTGTTACGACGTCAAGCATTAAGAGTAAGAATATTTCGCGCCAAAACAAGATCTGTATCACCAAATAAGTTTATCAGCATCTTTCTGAAATTTTCCAACAGAAAATAGCGTTAATTATAGAGAAATTTTGGTAAGTATTACTTATTAATGTTAAGGTTCTCCAGAGGTGGTTCTCTAGACCTTCTTGGCGGTCAATTTAATCCCATTTATCAATTATCCCCGATGACACCCAGTCGATTTGTGTCATGAGTGAAACTGTTATCTATTTGATGAAATAACTTCTTCATTAACTGTACATTCAATATTTTTGTAGTTTTTGATAACCGTGCACATTCCCATTGCATGTCCGCAAGATAAATGGGTTATGCATTTGTGATAAAAATTGGTGACGTCAGTGCGTGATCACGTGACATTATTATTTGTAAACAAACGGGCTCCCCATGCACGTGTCGGAAAAATCTATACAAGGTGCAATCAATCTTATATTTCACTCTTTGATGATATTTCTGTGTCTGTTTGTAGGTTTTGCAGATCAGATGTCATAGTGTAGTTTCATAGACAAAAAAGTACCATATTGTTCCTGTTCAGTAGTCAGTTCTAATTTTTTTTTTATAGAATTAGGTGTCTACGTTAGTCATTATTTAAATTAAGTCTGAATAAAGTGACTCAACTCCTCAATTTTCGAAACACGCATAATTTAAAGAGCATTTGCTTCCCTTGAACCCTCCCCCTCCCCCTACAAATTGCCCAAAACTCATACATATAGTCCGAGATTACTCTGACCTCCAACGTCTGTTTTACGATTCCGGCATTTTAACTCTTATTTTTAAATTGAACACACTCAGCCATTGAGCTTATTTGCATCATAAATGAACGAGGTGTTAGATTATGTTTTCCTATTGACTAAGGGTCATTTGCTTAAATCAGCTCCCATAATGCATTGTAAATTACTTTTTCTGTTGGTCATGTCACAATCTTTTAAAGTGAAAGTAAAAATGCCAGTACTGATGTGTCAATGTGAAAACTGTCCAAATATGAGAAGATAACGGGTGGCAGGTCGATCAAACTTACTTAAATGAAGAGAAAAATGAAAAATGAACACATTGAGGCTTGATTTATATGGATCCAGTCACCTCCAAAAGCAACGAAGCAGCACGTCCACTTTGGACGGGCAAATATCATCTATCTGATATGGGACGAGCTGAAGTCCCACTGCCCTAGCTGGTTTCGCAAAACCGTCGTTGGAGGTTAGAGTAATCTCCGACTACAAAACTCAATTCCAATGACAAAAATGCCCTAATCTTAAATTGAAAGCAATGGAAAAGTAAACTGTAAATTATAATTTTGGCAATGACCACATTATGTTTTAGTTCAATGTACATGTAATAATATGCAGGATAATACATGGACTTGATACTGCTTCAAGGTTGTACAGGTTTGTCAATGTAAAAATATTTTGTTTGCTAACTTGGGGAGCTACCATTTTATTTTTAGGGGGGGGGGGGGGTCTAGGATGAAATTTGAAAAAAAGGCAGGAGATGAGTTTTTAAGTAAAAAAAAAGGCAGGTCATGAGACAATTTGAAAAAAAGGCAGGATGACAATTTATGTAAAAACAAGTCAGGATAAACTAATAGAAAAAAAGGCAGGACAAAAAAAGAGTGAAAAAAAAAGGCAGGACAGATTACAACTCAACTAAAAAAAAAATGCAGGACAAAATTTTTCATCCTAGTCCCCCCCCCCCCTTTTTCCCCAATAAAAATGGAAAGGAAGCTCCCTTATTTTTTTCTTTAGAGGGTGTTGGCCTGAGTGGTACAAAATGTACCCTGCAGTTTTCATACGCCTGTTCATGAGAAATATAATGGTATGCCTTTGTCCGTCTGTCTGTCCTGATCTGTCTGTTTCTAGCATGTTGTTCACTAACTCAGTAATATTTTCACCAATTTGCATGAAACTCTGGTGAATTGATTATATCTACCGACGTGAGCTCCCTTTTAGATTTTTAGGAATTTTATAATTTTCGTTTTCAAAATGTGAGGTTTTATTCATTAAAAAAGGGGGATTTTCATGTTATCGCCCATTAACTCTAAAAATGCTTTGTTCACTAACTCTTCAATGCTTTCACCAATTTGCATGAAACTGTTGTGAATTGATTATTTTATAAATTTTAGGTGTCCCGTAACGGTCAGAGTTATATGGGATTGTATTCATGTATTGATGTGAGCTCCCTTTAGACTGTTTTGAAATTTTAGAATTTACCGTGATTATCCAGTTACAATGTATAAGGGGTTTTATTCATTCAAAAAGGGGGATTTCCATGTTTTCGGACATTAACTCGAAAATGCTTTAAGCAGTTGTCATTTGTCATGAAACTTTGGTTAATGATTTATATATATATATTGATGCAAGCTCCCTTTCAATTTTATAAATTTAAGGTTTTAGGTTTCAGAATTGTGGGATTTTATTCATTAAAAAGGATGGCTTTCCCAGTTTGCGGATCAAATTCAAAAGTTTGTACATGCACTTCTCTGACATGTTTCAGTAAATGTGTAAAT